AGTTCGTAGAGAGAAACCAGTTCAAACCAGTTACAAGTAGAAAATCCCACCTGGAGCCACATGATCAGCATCATTAATCTGCTTCAATCTCTTTTATTACAGCCATTCATAAGAATACCAATAAGCCTGATTATATAATAAGATACGAGGCTTCAGGTCAGAGGCGAGTTCTTCACCAGCAGGCGCTCATCAAACTGAGGGCTTGTTGCAATAAACCAGATTTATTTTTTAATTCAGTCTGGAAAAATCTAGAGCATAGTCCAACCAAACATTTCTGCATCTGTTTTTTAAATTTATTTATTTTTCAGTCAAAAACAAACTTAAGAAGTTGAGAAACTGCTTCTTACTTCAGCTGAGCGAAGTGGGAGTGTTGTTGTTTTCTGTCGTTGTGACTTGGTTTGTAAGAGACCAGCTGTGGTAAAACCTTTAATGATGAAATAAGGAGAACTTGCAGAGGAAATTGCAGAAAGAGTAGGTCATGGAAAACAGAGTAACGGAAGAATCCAGTAATGAACAATTAAAAACCAGTGGCTTAAACACTGGAAGGAGTGGTAAATGACAAAGGAATCAGATCAACAGAAACAAGGAAAAGAAGGAAAAAAGCAGGAAAACTATAAAGTTACACAAACTGGAATAACAAAAATAAATTTGCTTAGTGGAAACTCAACAATTTTGGAACAAAAACAGTTTTTTGATTAAAAAGGTGGTTTTTCAATGGAATCACTTTTTGCTCATCACCAGTCGACAACCGGATGTTACTACTGGCAGAGAAGACAAAGAAGAGGAAGACAGGAAGTAGGAAGAGGATGATGGTGCAAAATGTTTTATAATGACTTGTGTGAATAAACTTATTCACAAGTGATTTTAATTGCTTTTCTTATTTCATGGAAACAATTGCAAAGTTGTGTTTTTTCCACATTTGCGGAATATGGAAAACATTTTATTGACATTTGTAATGGAAACCCAGCGAAGAGGGACAGAGACACAGAAGGAACTGATAAAAAAAACTGCAAACCAAAAGAAAAACACCAACACAGATCCAAGAGAACTACATTAAGATGCTCAAAGTACAGAAAAAAACACATAAACTGAGAAGCTAAAAGCAAAGAATGAACTGAATATGGCAAGACCAGTTGAACAAAATGAAACGAGAAAGAAATCCCTTCAAATTCCAACTAAATCATTTACCTTTGCCTAAAACCTTTCAAGGGACAAAAACAATAAAGACCTCAGGATATTCCAGGTGTGGCTCATTGGTGGTGGAACATTAAACTGTAAAACACTTTTTGCACAAAAGTGAGAATGAAAGAGAGAGGCTCCTTTCAAATCCTTCCACTATCAATGAAAAGTAGATAAAAACTGATCTCAAACAGACTTCAATCATTCAGGTTCCTACCACAAATCTGCTGAAAATGTAAGGACAACGCTAATGCGACCAGTTCTGACAGGAAGAGCGGAGAGTTGCTTCGTTTCATTCACGTTGCCCATCCTGTGTTGCTCTGCAACCAAACAGCAACGCTGCAGCGCGTCTTTGATTCAGCCAAACCTCTGCTGTTAAAAAGTCAGACTCTCCCTTCTGAGTTGAGCTTTACAAGACACAAGTGTTTGTAATTTTCCATTAAATTGTAAACCGATCCCCCGTTGAGTTTAGGTTTTTTTGGGTTTTTTAAATACAGCTTTTTGCTTTTACACCGAAACCAAATTCCTTCACAGAAAAACACTTTTTTGAAAAAAAAGAAGAAAAATTCTAATTTTATAATTTTGACTTCAATCTTGTCATTTCTGTAGCTAAACATGAACGTTGACATTTTTTATGCATGTAAAATGATTTGAGAAATGCAGGAACAAATGTTTATATATTGTTTATATATATATATATATATATATATATATATATATATATATAATATATATATATATATATATATATATATATATATAAATGTTTATATATTATATATATAATAGTAAAATGTTAAGTTTTCTTAAAGAATTTACAGTTTTTTCAAACATCCTGGTTTTTATTTTGGATGCTTTCATTTAGTTTGCACCATTTTAAATATTACTTTGATCTCAAATAACCATTTTAAACATTATTTTTGATCTCAATGAACCTTTTTGAATGTTATTTTGATCTCGATGAACCATTTTAAACGTTAGACTGTTTGGATGGAGGCGTGTTTATCTATCGTTCTTGAAGACAAGATGTTCCAAACTGATTTTCTATCTGCTCTGATTGCCTGATTGCAGTAACTGAAGAAAAGTTGAGTTTTTTCCTGAATGGAATCTGAACTATGCAGGATTCATGAGATGCTCGTCACACAGCCGCCTCATGACTAAAAGAAAGTAACTAATATTCAGACCGGAGGCTCTGATGCTCTGCTGACGGATTAATTTGAACAGAAATTAGGTTTTTCTGTTTCTCCTTTTCTCAATAACTCCCATCAATTAGATATTATTCATTCTTATAAGAAACAAAATATCTTAGGCATTAAACTGTTTTAAGTTTAGGGAGTTTCAGTTGAATCAGGGTTACTTGTTCTTGAACGCGTGTCGACATTATGTGATTGCATCATGACTTCTTGTTGTGATCATGAACCGATTAATTTTGATTTGATCCACGGTGCCAACATGTAAAGCCAGAGAAGAAGGATAGAGGTATAATAATCAGTCATAAACAACACAAAGCTAATGACAGGTTGCATAATACTTCTCTAGTATAGCACGTCAGCCACGTTATAACTGTGATGCAACTATGTTTGAGGAACAAATCAATGTAAATGCTGGCGGCTGCAGACAGGATGAGCGTTCTGTGATTTCAGATCTGGATCAGTAAACTTACCGTTTATTTGGCCTGTGTTATTTGTTTTAAGAGACATCTGAGGGTTTTTGATGAGAGGAAATTAAACTATTTATCTTTGCAGGAGGTTCACGAAGATACAGAGAAAACGTCACCTCAGTCTTTATTTTAAACCTTCACATCACATGTTTGATTTAAGTTTTCTTTTCAAATATCAGAAAATAACTTCAACAAATTTCATTAAAACTCAATGTATTATTTTTGTTATATTCTGTCTTTGAGTGTTTTTTTTTTTTCTTTTCTCAAATTAGCTTTAAAATATTAGCAAGATAATCCTTTTAGGTTTTTTGGCCACTAATTCAAATTTTTATGGCATATTTGCATTTTCATCTAATGCAAACCGAGTTTGGGAGGAAAAAAAGCAAAGAATCGTTTAAATGTTAACATTTAAAGCCCTTTGTTACTTTACTTCAGATTCTGTTTTTATTTGTCTGGTTAAGTTTCTAATGACCCGGTTCCAGTTTCTCTGGGTAACTGGAACTGTTGTCATCTCAACATCAAAACAAAGGAAGTGTTGGCTGACATCAGAAAGTCTGTGGTTCCATGCTGGGCCAGGACATTGAAGAAGTGCATACAAATACCAGAGTGTCATGAAAAGACATGGAGTGTCTTATTCTGTGCTGCAGTGTGAGGGGAAGGACATGTAAGATATAAACAACAGCAAGTGAATGGGCAAAATTATGAAAAATGCTAGCTCGGCTCCTAGCAATGGGCTTATGCTGTCATGGTGAATAAAAAGCTGACTACTCCATTTTCATTGGAATAATGATCATGAGAGCTATAACTCGTGACTAAAGAGCGATGATGCTGGACACAAGCAGCTGAAATAGACTTCTCCCTTAAGGCGGCTGGCTCAGCTTTGGTTAAGAGGAAGAAGTGGCGTCATGCAGGGAGTAAACCTGACTCTCATTATGTGGAAAAAAGTGAGACTTGCACAAGCCACTTGGAGTTCATTAGGCTATTCTGGTTAAACAGAATTTGTTAATTAATGCCTCAGTAGGGAAGGTTGTAGCAACATCTGAAGGAAGCAGTGTTATCAGAAAGGTAACAGCTTCTGCACTCGTCACGATCACCAGCCCACAGGAAATTGTTCACCAGATCTTTGACCCTTTCCATGCTCAATCAGAGTGAGTGAAGTTGTGCCAGATACTCACCTTATTAAGTCAGAATCAGAGCAGAAATACAATCCATCTATATGCTTCCACATTATTAGCATTTGAAATTAGTTGTTAAATGTTGTGACTCTATAATGTGATGAATTACAGCCAGACTTTTTAAACCCAGGTTAGAATGCCTGTTTGTTGAGTCTCCAGCCTGCAGCTCTTAGACTTTCATCCCTTGTTCTTCTTCCATACTGGATAACTCTTCACTTAATGAATTCAACAGTGAGCTGCTGAATTTGCTCTCACTACTTTTGTTTTGGATGGACAACTGGTTTAGTTTTGTTGGTGCAACAGTTTTGGGTTTTTCTCTAGTTTAGTTTCAAATAATATAAAAATGAACAAAATTGTATGATGGCTATCTTTTGGATTATTCAGTAATAAAGTAATTATAAAGTAATAAACAAAGTAAGTCTAAGTCTAAGTGATTAACTTCATTGAGCAATATTTCCTCTTACTGTGGTCAACTAGAGAGCATTAATCTTAACATTTAGCTGTCTAAGGTGTGCTTTTCATGCATTTTCTGAATGAACAACTCTTGGTAGGAGTGACAGGTTAAACTGCACTTGACCTACATGTGCAAACAGTGTCTGATGAGACGTCTGCTTTCTGAAAGCTGCAGACTATCTGCTGGTTTTTATCTGTACAGTGCTGCTTAACTTTTTTAAAATAGAACAAATTGGGGAAAATCGCGTATGTAAGCATGCAGCTTATCACAAAAAGATAAATCTAAGTGTGATCGTTGAGCAATAAAATCTTTTCAAATAACTTTTTTCTGAACCTATCAAACTGATTGTCGAGCATCTCGCATCCATAAACTGTCTTTTCTTACGACAGCGCGGTTTTTCATAACAGTTCATCTGTGCCTTTGTGTGATTGGCTGGGGGGCGGAGGGTCTCTGTTGATTGGCTAGTGGGCCAAGCTACATTATAACTATATAATATGTGAATGCGAGACTCCAGCTCAGAGCTGAAGGGCGGAGTTAGTGAAAGAAGAGCTGAATGAAAGGCCGGCGAGCAGCTGCGACTTGACAGACTGAGAAACCGAGGCAACAAAAAACAAATTAAAGAAGATAAAACGGCTCTTAGACCCAGCGGAGGATCGAAATCAGAAGGAGGAATCGGTAAGTTTGTCCCAGCCGAGCTGGTCGCGCGCGAGGCTACAGCGGCAGGTAGCTAGCACATGGGTCAGAGTGACGTAATAATGCTGGATTATGGGGCTGCTGCTGTTAGCCTGGGGTATAACCCCGATTATTGATGCGAGCTCCGCAGCTCCGGCCGGCCGGCCGGCTCAGTGAGTGGGAGTGTGTCGGTGGGAGGGTGGTCCTCACTTCGGCTTACGTATCCAGTCACCGCTGGCTCACATCCAGTACCCAGAACTCTGTTACGTAGATGAAACTAATTCAGATATATTCTCTATAGATGTACTTTAATTTATTAATCTGCTGGTTGATTTTTGTTCTTACATTTTTTAAATCAAATTTTACTTATAAAACTACGATTTAAAGGTTTTGATTAATTAAAAGTTGCGATGAAGCAGGTTAGAAATGAGAGACTAAAGATAGCATTGGTATTTATAGGATTTATTCCTAATGTGCCTCTGTGAGCTAGAAGTAAAATAATCTGAAACCTTCCAGCTTGATCTTTGTTTGCCTTTCTGACCTGATTTCCATACTCAAACAGCTACATGTTTATTGAGCCAATTATAAAATACAACAACAGAACTGATATTGTTCTCCATCTATTATCTCCTCCCGCCTTATTGTCACAGTTGGAAGCCACACAAGGAACACTGAGTGCAGGATAACGTAAATGTACAAACATTTTCATCCTTTTTTTCTGGGTTCACTCAGATTTCTACAAGCTTAGCAGCATTTTTTCTATTTTTATTAATGGAGGAGTTCTACAGAATCCCATAAACATTGTAGCATTTGGGTTTGAAAACATTGTCTTTGCATTCTGCAACAATTGGATCACTTTAACCTTGACTGTAACAGGTCCAGCAGGTCTTGGGTCTTCATAAATAAAATCCCATTAGCCATCTGCATATCTTGGCAGGCGTTCAGAGCGAGATTACAACAACTCTGCCTGGAAGTATTTAATTTAGAAGTTAAAACAAAACACTCCTTAAGTGCTCCAGAAGAGCTGAAGCTTAACAAGGTTTGGGGAAAATACAGCTCGATGTTTTGAATGTGTGAAAACCCCCCGACCACTTTCACATTTTGTTAATTTTTTTCTTTAAATTCTGCAGAAAAGATATGAGACGAGCCTTTCAAAAATATTTTCAAGCCTTTCTATTGTGAGCCGTAATTAATTATGTATCTTAGGAGCTTCTTCAGTGCATCCAAATGCATTAAGAAGTGTTATAGAAGATGAGCGATTCATTTTTGTAGAATGCATTTACAAAAATGGAACTAGGTAAATATTACACAACAACCTTTTCTCCTCTTTTTTTTTCAATTCCAGCTTTCAGTTGAACCTCTAAACAAAACCAAAATTCTTGGTTTTAATTGCCAGCAGGAGTTTTTGTAAGGATCTGCTTAGAAGAATAAATGTTGCCAGGCCGGGAATTGAACCTGCGACCACTGCCATGAAGACAGGCCTCAATACACGAGTCGCGCTTTGCTGCTGCACCACCACAGCATCCGGTTTGAAATGTTTTAGTCCTGAGTATTGATACACAACTAAATAATTGGGAGATAAATGCTGTGACTTTACACAACTTGTTTCTGCTCGTAGTTGTTGCTCCTCGTGCTAAAACACGTTCCCACATGTTTCTACCTCCACCTTTTCCTGCTGGATGCTTATAACTGCATAAATTGTCATTGGCGACTAAAATCAGTTCTAATTTAGTTTCTTTTGCCTCTAAAATTAATCCACTTTTTGTTCAGTTTTTATATGTTAATCCCCACCAAAGGTTCGGGGGACAAATAAGGATTGCTGATGTTTGCGGCATGATGGTTGGACTAGAACAGCTTTTGTGGTCAGAATCACATCATCACAGTTTGAGAGAGAAGAATATTCCGGAGAGTACTCGATCACTAAAATATTCTTTCACAACAGCTCAAGTTAAAAACATTGTATCTCATTGTAAGATGCATCACGAAAACAGGATTCTCTGTGTTGATTCACACCAGCCCTGTTTAGTTCGCTTTAACTGAACTGAAGTCTGTTTAGTTTGTTTGGGGAGGTGTGAACACTAATTGTACTCTGAAAAAAGCTAACTCTGATTCGCCTACAAGCCTCAGGCTGGGTTCGGTTGAAGTGAACTGTGTTGCGGCTCGAATCCATTTATGAACGCCAAGCAAACCAGAAACCGGCTGGTTTCTTTGACTTAGTGCAGTGTAGAAGAAAACCACACTGCACTGAGTGCAGCATTTCTGTAACAAATGTTTAGATTTTGGTCCCAATCAAACTATCAGGTGTGAAAACACCTTTTCTCTTGCCGTAGATCAGACTCTTCCCGATCCAGAGTGATGGAGATTGAAAGCTGAAAAGATCAAAAACAGCTTCATTGTTATTAAAGTACAAAATCATTATTCATGAATATTATTCATCTGGTTTGACTCTCAATGTTAACTTAAAAAAAAGAAATGAATTAATGATGTCAGGACGTGATATAAAAATGATTAAAGAGACAATTAGCATTTTTTCAATGCCAACCATTCAGGTTGTACATTCAGTCATAGTTAAAACAGGTTCTCCATTTCGCTGATTATAGGTTACATAACCCTCCAGTGATTATCATCTCACGTTCCACGCCGACGTCCTGCATGGAGCGTGTCGGGTTTCTGCCGTGTCACCACTGATCCAAGGCGCCTGCGGCAGGTGACCTTCGACTTTTTGATAAGTGTCGGGTTGGCTCTGATGCTTGTTTGTTTGTTTATGCAGCAAAACCTACGAGAAGGTTTGATGTTTGGGAGGAAAACCTGCTTAACCAGAATGGTGAACATCCAGGTGTTTTTCTGTTGCTTTGAGTGAAGAGGAAACGTTGGCATATTTCTTCCACAGTCAGAAAAACAACCTGGTGCTTTGGAATAATTTTAACCCAACTGGATCCAATTTTATCTATTTTATAAAATGCTTGTTAAAAGTTATCACCAAAAACAGGCCTGTCACAACAACACATTTTGTTGGATGGTAAATTGTCCCAAAATTTATTGTGATAATAATAAAAATGGCCTTTTTTGACAAACTTTTTCCTCCAAAAAGTCCTTTATTGTAAAAGTGAAAAGTGATTCCTTCAAAATGACAAAAAAGTTACAGCATAAATATTCAGTTAATTCAACAGAGGTCCAGCCAATCGGTCCTTGCTTTCTTTTCTGAAAAGGAAATTACATAGATTAAAGCTTAAAAACAAAAACTTTGAAGTTATTGCCCTGCACTAAATTACCTCTTTGAAAAGTTTTTACAAAAATAATTTTCATGGTGAGATAATTTTTTAGTGTCCAAAGGACAGAAACTAAATTGAGAGTTGATTTGCTAACAACGAAAGGATCTTCCTGTTCTTTTGCATCACAGATAAAAACGGAGACAGATCTTGTCACGTATATCTTGCAATGATCAGCTTTGTTTGGCTCATCTTTTGTCTTTTTTTAGCTTTGTTTTTTGCTTTGTTTTTTTAAATAATGCAAAGCCGTCCGTTTTTTAATCTCCTAAACGCTGCAGTAAAGAGTTCATACCTGTAGCCAAAAGATAAAGCCGACACCCAAAGGCGCTTTTCTAGAAGAGTGGATTGTTTGCAATGCTGGAGGAAATGGTTTACTGTAGCCTCTGGTCACAGTTAGCTACCATTCGGAGAGTATTGTACTTTAAACAGAGAACAATTTGTGTTTTGTTACAGGATAAAGAGTGGAAAGCGATGCTGTAACTGTAAATACGTTGGTCAGTGTTTCTGGGAGTGAACTAACGAACCCAGTCAGGGCAGTGGGCTGCCGGAGCGGCACGTAGTCCTGAGTGACTTTGGCGCTGAGACTCACTCGTGTCTGGGCTCCATGCCAGCTTCGTCATTGCCCTTATGTAACCTCTCTTCATCTCTCCCAACCCACCTCATTTCCCTCTTTCTTTTTCTCTCCTCTCATTTCTTTATGCTTCTCCTATGCTGTTGAACCAAATTTTTCTTCCTCGTTCCTTTTCTCACATGTCCCGTCCTCACTTGTCTGCATTCGTCTGTGTAAGCATGACTGTGCAGTTTCTGAGAGTCGGCCGCTGCTCTCGGATCGCTGGCCCGGCCCTCTGGACGGGGCGTGCGTCCAGCGTCCATGACCTCATGGCTGCCGAAGTGCAAACCCAGCAGTGAAGTTTATATTAATGGAGCTTCAATGTGCTGGAGGGGAAATGTGAGTCATGAGGCTTCAGAGGAAACTTACAGTTGGAGAGAAGCTATTTCTAATTTCTATTTTCTTCCACTCTGGTAATAAAAACAGATGAGCTTCAAGCTGCCTTATAATATTTCTAAATATAAATGGGATGAATTAATAATAAATCAATTATTGGCACAATAATTTAAATGATTTATCATTTTTGTCTTTTCTCCCTTTTGGGCTCAGCTAAACCTTTTTTTAAATAACCATTTTATTTACTCCATAATTCATTTGATTTGTTTTTGTTATTTTGTTTATTTATTTTGGATTTATAAAGTGACTTCCAGTTCCAGTGTAAAATGTTCATAAAGATTTAAAGTTTATTGATCTATGAAAATATGTTCTTGCATTATTTCACCATTACTTGAAAATGGTCTCAAAACCACAATATTATCGTTTATCGCAAAACCTTGTGGGACGATTTATCGTGCAGCAAAATGTGTTATTGTGGCCGATCTGCGTACTAATCTGAGACACCAGAGGAGCTGATGACACGACGTTAAGTTACAGTCTAGATTTTATTTTGAAAAAGCAGAATATAAACCAGGATTACAAATTTTGCTGGACGATAAATTGTCCCAGAAGTTATTGTGATAAATGATTATATTGTTTTGAGACAATTTTTAGGGAAAATAACAGAAATGGCATAATAATACAAGAACACATTCTCAAAGCTCAATAAACTTTAAATTGCAATGAACACTTAACACTGGAACTGGAAGACAATTTAAATATCTAAAATTAATAAAAAACAGAAACAACAAATAAGTGAATTATAAAGTCTTTGTAAACTAAACAATTCTTAAAAAAGGTCTAGTTAAAGCACCAGAGTGAAGACTTTTAACATCCTGTTTTTGGTGGAAGAAGAGGAACAATAAATCAGACGAATGAAAGTTATTGAGCATAAAGTCACGGGGCCGAAATCTAAGAATCTGAATCGGAACCAAACGGAAATGTTGACTCGTTGTCTCACTTCCTTCCTGACGCTCCGTCACCTGTGAACATCGCAGGTTGAACCTCGACGCTAAACCTCAAGGTCAAACGGAGGAAGTGGGACTGAAAACGATCTCACGTCATGTTGGTGACCGGACTTTGTTCCTCTCTGTTGCAGAAGAAATGGATCTGCAGCAGAAAGAGACGACGTCTGGAGAGATTCTGCCGGTCGTGATCATCGGTAAGACAAACCTTCGCTTCGTTCATGCTGAGAGGTGAAATGAACAGCTTCAAACAAGGAAGTAATATTAGAGTCACATAAGTTTCTGCTTATGTTTTGTCTTAATGGGGAGAGTCTCTGACGTCTGAGGCAGCTGCATGCAAGATTAAGAACTGAGCTATTTATTCTTCTGCCGTTGAGCTGAATTCCCATTCAGAGAATAATGGAGACAGTGGGAGTGGAGCCGAACTGCTTGTTTACATATTATGTGCAAATATGTGGAAGTAAAAATGCAAATTGTTTTTCCTCTCATGCGGAGTCATTGTACATATATTTACAAAAAGATTGCTGACTCATGCAACAGCTGTTCATAATTTTCTGCCTCCATCATGTTCCACGCCTGTCGCAATAACTTAATCAATAATTGGCCCTGCAATAGTTCCTATGAGATATTCATGTATAATTATGTAAGTAATTGCCAGTTGCAGATCTAACGTATTGATAATGGAATAATGATAATGCCAATTTCAGATTTTAATCCCAGAACTTTGTGAGATCAAAAGTCTATTTTTTTATTTCTAATTTTCTCCTGTTGCTTAGGAAACGGCCCCTCTGGGATCTGCCTGTCTTACCTGCTGTCAGGCTACGCCCCCTACCTGTCGGCAGAGGGATGGCACCCGAACCCCCTGCTGCACGGCAAGCTGTCGGAGCAGCCTCACCTGTCGCTGCTGGAGCAGGTAACCCGGCCCGTTCCGCCGTGGCGCCGGCGTCGGGTCGGGCTGCATCTGAACCGAGCCTCTCTGCAGGACCTGGAGTATCTCTGCGAGGGCCTGGAGGGCCGGTCGTCCAACCCTGTGGCGGTGCTCTTTGATTCGCTGCTGCTGCCGGACAGCGACTTCGGTCTGGACCACACGTCGCCCCTGGAGTGGCGGTACAAACCGGAGCGAGCCATTCCCCACCTGGTTCTGGGAAAAGGCCCGCCTGGAGGCGCCTGGCATGTAAGGCCCACCGTCATAACGTTGTCTTAATGGGGAGAGTCTCGGTCTCTGACGTGAGTTTTTGCTCCTTCCAGGCCATGGAGGGATCCATGCTGACGCTCAGCCTGGCCAACTGGATGGAGCTTCCCGGGCTCAAGCTGAAGGACTGGATGAGAGACAAGCGCAGGTTCGACCCGCATCAAAGAACCACGTTCTGTAGGCAGACATGGGCGGCAACTGGTCACATTGTTTTAGTGAGAATATTTCTACTTGAGTAAAAATATGTCAAAGTCGTGTTTTAAGATAGATAAATCTAAAAATATATATGTATGTATTTAAAAAGTGTTTTTAAATATTAAATTTACAAAGATGAACATTTAAATCAGCTCTTATGTTGTGGCTAACCTAGATTAGCTTATTTAAGTCCTAGTGAGCGATAGGTTTAAAGATTTGGGTTTTGAACCTTGTATTAAGTTATGTTAAAGTATAAAACTTGGATGAATCTTTGTGTTAATTTACAGGGGAGAAATGAGCTGAATGACGGTTTGGTACCTGATATCTACTCGTTAGCCCCGTCCGTTGCTGCCTTGCTAAATGTTGTTTCTTTTTGTGGCAGAAATGTGAGGAACGACCGCGCCACCCCGGCAGAAATCGCCTCCTACTATGAGCACTACGTGTCCAAGATGAACCTGGAGCAGAACTTCGCCTGCGGGACCACCGTTACCGCGGTAACCAGGGAGTCGGGTCAGCAGGACGGGTCACCGCCCTGCTGGAGAGTGTCGGGACTGCAGCGGAGACACGGCGAAATTCTAGGAGGTGCGTTTTATGAAAGACAAACAGAATAAATGAAACGTTTATGTTGTAAAGGTTTAAAGAGTATTTTCATGATTTGTGTTCTCGCTGTAGACGGTTGCTCGGTTACGGAGGAGGTGCCGTTCTCGCTGTTGGCGCACAACGTTGTCCTGGCGACGGGAACGCACGACGTGCCGGCTCGGCTCGGCGTGGACGGAGAGTCGCTGCCCTTTGTCTGCCACTCCTTCTGGGAGCTGGAGGCGGCCATCGCCCGCGGCGAGCTCGACCAATCCGCCGACCCCGTGCTGGTGGTGGGGGCGGGGCTAACGGCGGCCGACGCCGTCCTCGCCGCTCACCACCTCAACACGTCGGTGTGCCACGCTTTCCGGCGCTCGGTCTCGGACCCCGGGCTCATCTTCAACCAGCTTCCCAAACTGCTCTACCCAGAGTACCACAAGGTGAGGCGGGTTCTGGGCGGGGGCGGGTTCTGCAGACCCAAAGTGGGTGTTTCCACAGCGCAAACTCTGATTGGCTAATTCCAGCAGCAGAGATTGTTCGGAAACTTCAGGAAATTTTATCCAAAATCTCAGAAATGTTGAGATTAACCTCAGAAATGTTTTTTTTCAGAAAAACTAAGATAATTTCTGACTTTGGAAAGTCGGACATTTCCAAGGTTTTTTCTAGGAAATTTCTGAAATTAATTGCAACATTTGAGGTTTTTTTGCAGCAAATTTTTGATTTTTCAAACTCGGAAATTTTCTACAAAAAGAACTTCAAAAATAAAAAATCTGATTAATCTCAAAATTTTAAATTGTTTTCAGATTTGTGTTGAAAATCACAAATTTGCTAGGAAATAAACTCTACATGTTCCCTAATAACTTTGAGTAGCAATAAACATTTATTAAAAAAGAAAAACCTCTACATTTGATTTCGTCCAATCAGGTCCTTCACCGCTCGTCCAATCGTGTTGCTCTTGACTTTATCCGTCCAATCAGGAGCTGCTCTTCCTTTAGAATCACCTACCTGCTCTGCAGACTTGCCTTCTTGGTTCTGAGGCCGGCGGTCGGTTTGTTGGTCGGTCCGGTTCTGATCTCTGCTCTTTTCCAGGTCCATCAGATGATGACTCAGCAGCAGCACCAGACCGACCCTTCGGACCGGCCCAGAACCTCCGCCGCCTCCTTCCTCTTCCTCCAGCTCGCCTTCCTCCTACCCCGGTTACCTGAGCTTTCCCTGCCACCGGGTCGTCGCCTTCCGGCCCGACCGGAAGTGCATCCTGGAGTCGGACTCTGGCGAGCAGACGGTGGTCCGGGTCTCCAAGGCGCTGGTTCTGATCGGCGCTCATCCGAACCTCTCCTTCCTTCGCGACAACGGCCTCTCGTTAGGCATCGACCCAGAAGAGCCAATTTCCTGCCGGAGGAACCCGATTGACGTGGACCCGTTCACAAACAGGGTTCTGGCGGCGGACGGGCCGGGAATGTACGCCATGGGCCCGCTGGTCGGGGAGAACTTTGTCCGGTTCCTAAAAGGCGGGGCGCTGGCCATCGCTGGGGATCTGTGGAAGCGGCGCAGCGGCGAGGAGGAGGCCGTTACGCTGGACATCCGGTCGACCGCCGGGTCGACGCCCGGGTTCTGGACTCATAGCTGGGAGCTGAGGCAAACGGACCGACTGGAAAACCCGAGATCAACTGGACCTGTTCTGGGATCAGCTGGAGAAACGGCAGCAGGATGTTTCTGTTTGGACCCGATTTGCCACCAGATACCAGAACTGTTTTCTGTAAATTTGATGATTATCCATTTTTTACTGGAAATATTTAAGTTTCTTCCAAGTTTTCAAATTATTAAACGTTTAGGATCCGCTGCTAACGGCGACGTTTTAGGGCCAGAACAAGAAAACATTTTAATTGCAAAATAAGGTTATGCGATTTAAAGTAGCACAATATAGTCAAAATAATAATAGAGTTGTATTAAAGTCACAATTATCAAAAAGTGTGAATAAGAGAACAGCCATATTTGCGAGAATAAAGGAGCAACAGTGAAGATGCATCAAAAGTATTATAAAATAAATATATTATTGAAGTTGCAAAATACATAAAGTTGTGATAATTCATGGATAAAATCGTTCTGTAAACAAATTTTTCTGGCCCTAAAACTGCGTTTATGCTGACAACCATATTAATATTTAAAGCTTATTTGGTTATTTTTACTACAGCTTCCAGTTTGTTTGGTGTTTTAAACGACTAATCTGTTAAATTTCTGTTTTTATAGCACTTTATTATATCTGTGCTGCTTTTTATTTAATCTTGTAGCCTAATGTTTCCTTTATAAAAAGTTTTCTATTTATTGATTTTACTAAGCAAATATTAGTGGAAAAAAAATTATTTTCTATTCTAATTTTTCAGTGCATTAAAGGTGTTACTTAGTTAAATCAAGCCATAAAAAGAACTTTTAAAATCAACATTTTTATATTTCCTTTTTCATCCTCAGATATTTTTCTCACTTTCTAATGTTTTATTTACACCTTTTTGTACTGAAGCAATAATCGGCATTTCAACTGAACATCTATTTACATCCTATACATACTGTGGCATTTTTAAATGAACATTTATTTACCGTTTCCTTTGGGATCTCCTGTAAGAAAATTGTTGTAATGTTTCTTATTTTGGTGTAAAATTATCCTTTTTTATTTTTTTTCAACGCTGCAGTAGATTTTGTGTGTAAATGTTGACAGGATTCGGTTTAAGTGCCTTGAAACTTCATTGGATTCTTACAGAATCGTCTCCGTTTGCGTCAATGCCGTGCAGATAAATCCAGACCTTCTGTTTGCAGGTGCTGTTTATGATAAACAGGAAGGTTTGTTCCAGGAAATGCCTCATCTGTGTTCATTTCTATCAAAGTTTGAGCTCAGCAGAAATATTATCTCTGCAATTTATCATGTATTTACAGCATATACAGTGGCACAGGCATTTGTCCCTCCTTTCCTGACTCTAATCATCTTCCGTAAATATGTCCCAGACATAATACATAATAGTCATCAACTCATTTCAGACCTGTGAAGCTGATTTTATGCTGTAACAGCCTGCCATAGGGTTCACCTGGAGAAAGAATGGCGACACGAGGCAAAAGCTTCTGGAAAGATTTAATCTCACGTACTTTTCACTTTTCTAACAAACAGTCAGGGTGATGTCAGATGCAAAAAACAAAATCAAGTCCCATCAATCTGAAGCTAACAGCCATGAGGTTCAGAGGTCAAAGCAGGCCGCCGGTCGGTCGGTTTGATGTGGCGCGGAAACAGGAGGGACGTGGATGAGCATGCAGGTTTATTCGTTTTATTTCTTAACCGGCTCTGTCGATGTAAGAGTGAAACAAACCAACAATCAAAGAACACATGAAGATACGTTGAACAGTTTTCCCCACCGGAACCGCAGGTCCAGAGCAAGGCAGCAAAGCCGAGTCAGCTCCAATAATAATAATATAATACTGCTGCTATTCTCTCCTCCTAACAACATCTTTACATTGTTACACTTTTAAAGATGGGGGACAAACCACTTACCCGTATCTGTGGGTAAAGGTACAATAAAAAATAAATTATCACCTTAATAACCCAAAAATAAATATAATATTTGCTCTGTTTGGTTCCTGCTCCTGAGGCTGAGTACCTGTTGCTGTCCAGCAGGGGGCGGTGCCGCGCCTCGGCCAGCCTCAGCCTCAGGCGGAGGAAGATCCACGAATTGATTGGCTCCACTCCATCGAGACACGACTACACAGGACTTATTATAAAATATAAATATCTTTATATTATCTATATTTTGAGGCAGGGCTGCGTGATAATTCAACACCAGCAAAACGTTCAAAAGGAATTTAATTTATTTTTGGTCTCATTTCCCATTTCTATCAGAAAAATATTATATAACCGAGCCCTGATAGTTGAGGGTGGTGTTACTCTTCTTTTAATCAGTGCTATTAACAAATCCCATGGAAAGGCGCCATGTTGGCCTTCAGGTGCTTCAGAGCTCATTTGAAATGCGAGGTCCTTCACAAAACCCCCCAAAAATAGAAAAACCAAAAATTCACTTCATTTCTGAGAACAAACAAACTGAGCTCCATCAGTGCATTCATGCCGGGCTTTTTTCCATGAGAGCCGCTAACAGCAAAAAAACAGAAAAACCAACATCTGGACACCACTGAACCAGATCTTAAAGTGACATTTATGCTTCAAATATTACAAATGAGCTTCACAGGACACAGGCCACGTTAGATTTCTGATTAATCCCCAATGTTTAAAGATAAACGGTAATATTTCCCTCTGGGGGCCTGTTTCTGCTGCACTGCATTGCCGATTTCCCTCCCAGGGGGCGCCACTGCGCTCTTCCAGAACCACCTGGTGCTTCGCCAGGTATGTCTTAGTGCGTTTTCTTACTCTTACATTACTTAGGTTATCCAGGTTCTACCACGGCGTATTCGGGCCAATATGGTTCGAAAAAAGAAACTAGAAGATTTCTGCCAAAAAAAAAAAAAATCAGAATTTTGAGATTAATTTAAGAAATTATCTAGAAAAAAAAGAATTTCAAATGTCAATTTCTTTTGGAAATTTGGAGTTTCAAAAGTAAAAAATGTGCAAATCTGGTTTGGAGAAAGTGGGAAATTTTCCAAAATGTTTTCCAGAAAAAAAATTCAGATTTTTTTTTTTTTATTCTTGCGCATTTTAGACTTTTGGAGATCAGAAATGTCCTTATTTTTTTCTAGAAAACTTCTGGAATTACTCTCTAAATGTCTGAATTTTTCAGTGGACATTTAGTCCTTTTTTGGCCCGATTCGCTGTTGTGGGTTTCGGTTTCTGAGGTGCCAGGAGGGGGCGCTGCGCTGGGCCTGGAGCCGATTGGTCGGTCAGTGGACGTTTCGTCCAAACGTTCCCAGGATGTGGTTGTTTCTGACCGACAGGACGAGAAAAATCCTCTAAATTTTGAGCTTCACTGTGCAGAAAAGTTCCCTTAAAGATACGCTTCAATCTAGAGAAACTTCTAGAGGTGGCCACACCGGCTCCCTTCTGCCAGCCGACGGGTTGCAGTCGCAGCTTTTTTTTACATTTATGCACAAATAAAATCCTCCTCTATAGCTGCTGTTTCTAACGTTTTATCAGAACCGGCACGGTTCTGGATTGAAGCTGTAAAAATCTCCTCAGGACGGCGGCGGGCCATCTGCTGTGATGTCACCGCCGCTCTGTGGTTAGGCATTGATGTGTGATGGTGAAGGAATGCTTTAAACCACGAAGGTCCTCATGAGGAGACATCATAGTTGGTGTGCGGCCATTTTGGCGGCGCCGTCCCGTCTTCTCGTTGCGGTCCGACCTGAATGGACTCACAGTAAGAGGTGTGTGTGTGTGTGTGTGTGTGTGTTTGCTTAAAGACCGATCAGTCTCTAGAGTGGGAGGACTTTCTTTGTTATTTTTAGAACAGAACCGAGCCGATTTGGTCCGACAGAACCGCACGGGAGCCTCTGGAGCTACGGCAGGTTCTCGTCTCGAAGGCTCTCTAGAATCCGGATCAAGTTTCCAGTCCGAACACGTAGCCCGAGTCCGGACCGTCGTGCACGGCTGTGTCACCGCGGAAACCCCTGTAGGTTGAGTGGGCGAAGTCGATCATGCGAATGTCCACCAGAGAGGGCTGCTGAGGCGGCAGGGAGGGGCATTTGGACGGGGGGCAGGGCACGAAGGGGCAGCAGTCCGTCACGATGGGCGGGAAGGGAGAGGGGGGCGCGTCTGGCGCCGAATGTCCGGGTTCCTGAGAGGATAGAAGCTCCAGTACCGAGTCCTGGTCCTGGTTGCAGTCCGTTTCACTGGAAGTGTCGGAGTGAGGAGAGGGAGCAGGGAGGGGCTCTGCAGGGGCAGCGGGGGTCTTCTGCTGCCAGGCGGCGCTCTGCCCAGGGCCGGGCGCCGGGGCGGCTTCAGGCTCCTGCAGCAGAACGAGAAGAGTCGGTCAACCAAGCCCGAAATGGTCCGGTTTGCAAACTAACCGAACCAGAAAGTTCTCACACCTTAAAGTCCCGTAACAGTTGTTACATTTTCAGCTGCTCTGAGTCAAACCATCCAAACTAACTGAACAAGCTATTCCCCTCTTTCACGTTGCTTCCTTCAGTGGTTCTGGGTGCAGCGCCCCCTCAGGCGAGGAGGGAACTGGTTGCTCAAAGAGTCTGGTTGGTTTGACTCCACAGCATCACAGCAGCTGGAAATGTTGACATTTTGTTCCCAAATGAAACCGAATCAACCGGGACCATCAGGTGTAAAACTGTCATGTTTGAGGATTGTGGGAGAAAACCGGAAAACCCGGGAAGGGACGCAGGCCAGGGTCCAAACCCAGAACCTTCTTACTTTAAGGCGCCAGAAGCACCTATTAATTTATTACATTACTGTGATTATTATTAATTTAGTTATTGATTCTCGAGTACCAATACCATTTATTTTCCAACAGGCGACTTAATCCTTTGAACTTTGATAAATAAACATATTTTTATAGTACATTCTTTTTAATATGGTTTATATCTTTGTAACATAGATTTACTCATAAGACTTAAGAAATTACAGTGGAAACTTGTTAAATTAACCGGAGCAGCCATTTATGTGTTAATAAACTATCTGTGAGTCCAGAATTACAAAGGAAGAGTTGTAAAAATTACGATTTAATCATTGAAATCTTTCGTCGGCAGTGATCCTGGAGAGGATCACTGAACCGAGGAGAACCGCGGTTCTGCTCGGTTCTGATACGAGTTTCTTTATTTAGCCTGTTCCCTTCCAGAGGCTGACAGTTTGGGTTCAGTCTCAGCTCCATGTCGTCTCGTTTCATTCTTGAATCGCGTCTCTCTCAAGAGTTACAGACCAAAAAATAGAAGCAGAAAAACCTCAGCTTGTAGTTTTACATTAAAAAACTCAAAGCGGAGACGATTCAGTGAAACTTTCATTAAAAAAAAAATAATCTGAGCTTCATTTCAGTCAGAAAGTATCCAAAAATTGTAAAAATAACAGAATGACATTTTACTTTACTTTTTACTTAGACATCTAAAAAAATTACTCAATAAGAGTAAAAAAAGTATTTGGTAGAAGGCCATTGAACAAAATAATTCAATATTAAAAAAGTTCTCACTGACGATGGATGGCTTTGGTTTTACTGTCAAGTTGTTAACGTAACACGCTAAATCTTAACGTTTGGAAGAAAAAAGGGAAGCAGTGCTGTGCTGTTAATATGACAAGAACTAGACAATAAGATCAGGAAGTTTTTAATTAAGAAAAAATAGCAAGGGATAAGGAAGGTAATCAAGCTAATCAACCACCGCACTGTTAGCTTAGCTGATAGCAGCGGTAGCTAATCCACCAAAGCGATCTCTTCAATAATCACATAATAAAGATTGAATTAGAAACCTGCCCATCTGCTCACCTTTCCCTCGTAGATGATGAGCAGCGAGGAAGAGTAGAAGCGGTAGGATGCCTGCCTCTCTAGCACCGCCTTCAGGCTGCGGAGCTTATTCAGGATGGGCTCAAAGAGGTCCTGCCTCAGGCACTTCCCGTTGTCCAGGAACTGGTGGAGCGCCTGGCGGAAGCCTTCGATCGACAGGCCGCGCCCGTAGTACTTGTTCCTGCAGAGGTAGTGCCCGGTGCTCAGCTGGTACACCTGCAGGGGGCGACATTTAAATAATGCATCACCAAAATCACTCTGCAGAAAGTAATGCTGGCTGCAGCTCTGTATTCCTTGTTCAAGGAAGCGATTCTGCTTCCTTGAACAAGTTAGGATCGGTCTAAACATCACATGCTCATTACTTTTCATCACAAAATGATTCTTAGATGATAAAATTTTAATCTCCTCAGTTCTGACTATTGTGACGACGTCCTGTCACTTTAAATCCAAACAAGCTGCTGCTGGCCAACTCAACGTTTACACGCGCATGTAAAAATGGCTGCAAACAGATGCACAATCATACAACCGCACATCTTTGAAAAGCACAAGTAGAGCCTCCTGCACAGTCAACAAAAATGCACCAAGTGGATTCTGGATGGCAAGTCTACAAAAAACACTTGTGTTTTCCAGCAGCCATTGTACAGCACATGCAGCAGTAAAACCAGCTGACCAAATGTGCAGGAGCTCAACCTGGGTTGCTTTGCACTGCTGAATTGATGCCATGGAGAGTAAAGGATTTCGCAAACATCAAAGAATCGAAGCAACACTCTAGATGAAGGATTCTAACATGAGCTAATGCCCAAAAAAGTTACCGATACCTGATACTGCCGCTTTAAAAGTAGAGGAAATAAATGATGCATTCTTTTGAATTGAACGCAACGTTTTAAATTTAAGTTATTTTGGCCACTTTTCTGCAGCTGAGTGAAGCGAGACGTTGGGTTAATGAAAGATGGACTAATAGGAGTTTCCGCTGCTGCATCCTGATGCGTTTCCTTCGCCATTCTACCTGCATGCCACACACTCTGACGCCCAGCGTCGCCGAAGTGCTCTGTTCGCATTTCTTCATCTGCCGGGCCGCCTTCTCCTCCGAGGCGTCGTCGCCGTGCTGCCGGGTTCCCATCTTCAGGTCCAGGATGCAGGGGAAGGAGAAGTGGTGGACGACGTTCTCCAGCAGCAGGAACTCTGGTTGACGCGCCGCAGTTAGGGAACAAAACCTGGAGGATTTCATCGCACGCAGTCTGACTCTCATCTAGTTTAAAAATGTCACTTGGAAAAATATACAAATATATTTGATTTAAACAGAAATAAAAGATTTCTGCTTTCTTTTACACCAAAAGTTGGGATTTACAGGCAAGAACATTTCAGCCGATTCCAATATTTGATATTTATACTTCTGTTAGGAGCAATGCCTGATATTTACTGATATTATAGAAATTTGTCAACCACTTTGATGCTCTGAAAAAACAATCAGGCAAGTTTTATTAATTGAATCGATCCTGATGTGTTTACTTGTCTAAATCTTCATTTAAATGGATTTAAAATGTTGATAGACAAGAATCTTTTTTCTAATTAAGAGACATGAGTTTTTAATCATTTGTGATTTTTTTGTGAATTAGCTGTGTTTCTGTTTTTGACTGTACAAATCTAATCACCTTCCAAAAATAATGTCTTATGTCATTTTGTGCCAAAAGTTATATTTTTTGTTGCTTAAATAAAATTCAGGTTTCAGAAAAGCCATAGTCTTAGAAAGATTACGTTTTTGGTTTAACTTGTCTTTTTAAGAAGTTCTATTAAAAATAAGCTAATAAAAGATTACACTAGTTTATGAATATTGTGTGATTGCAAATATTCATGCAGATTTATGAATTTATTTGCACAAGTGAATGATTGTAAATTCTTTGCAAAATTATCACAAAAAGTGGTGGTAAAAAACCACCACCATCGGGTTAAAGTGACCCCAACTCCCACCAGCAGGTGGCAGTATTTCTTACTTCTACTAACCTGCTGCCTCAGCCTGAGTTTTGGTCCATGATTGACATGGTAACAAAAATCGACCTATTTTAGTTTAATCTGCGTCTTTTTTTTTCTTCTTATATTTTTTCCTGTATAGTTTTTTTAAGTGGTTTAATGAAATAAAATACAACAGAAATCCCTGCAAATATTTCTAAAGGAGCATCAAAAAAATCATTAATTCTGATAAGGGAAAAAATATATCTATATATTCTGAAATCCTGGAGGAACTGCAAAACAAAAAGACTCCATGAAGCTCCAGTGCTTTGAGTTGCTGTGATGCGATTGGCCGAGTTAAACAGGTGCTTCCACAGCTGAGCCGAACAAGGTGTCCAGTCACGGGACGTCCGGCGGACGGATGAAGGATACTGAAGAGCTTGCGGTCCTTGGACTCGGATCTCATGCGGTTGAGCTGCTGCTTGTGGCACACCAGGCTCCAGGGGTTGTAGCTGATATTCTCCGAGGCCAAGCCGCTGTTCCAGTCCAGCATCTGGAACGGGACGTCTGAGTGGAGCTTTGGGTCCAGCCGGGGACTCTTCAGTTCTGTGAAACTGAAGCAGGAAAGCAGGTTGTTAATGTAAAGACTTATCGTGATTTAACGAACTATCGTTCATTCAAATAAATAACTTCTTCCTGACTTTGCTATCTCGTTGTCATATTGTTGGCAATTAGTAGCAGAGCATCACCTTCATTTTCTTTTATACATCATCAGACATTCAAGATTTAGATTTATTGACAACAGCTAAAGCCAATGCTAGTCATCACCAGCGAGCAGCTTTTGCCTCCAGCTGGCGGTTGGAGGGCGGATCCAACGCATGTGACGTCACCATGCAACTCGTCTACAGTTGAGCAATTTGACATTTCAAAGTCAGCTTGCTCAGTGAATGAGGCCATTTTATTGACGTTGGTTTATTTTGCAAAATTGCTATGGAAACACTTTTTTTGCATCACGAGTCACATGATCAACAGTTACTACTGTGGAAAAGACAGAAAAAGGTGGCAGGAAGTGGGAGGATGATGATGGTGCTGCATTTTACTTAGAGCAACTAAAACATGGAAAAACTTCTGTAGTTTCTTATTTAACTGAAAGTACGCAGTTTATTTGAACTAAGCAGGATATTAGTAAAGTTTTGTAACGGAAGCGCAGCTTCGTGATGAAGTGAACAGGCTGTTACTTGTCGGAGCTGTCGGTGTCGTGCGACTCCCTCCGCTCGGTCCGCTCCTCCTTGTACTCGGAGGAGGAGGAGGATCGGCGGAGGCTGCGCCGGGATTGCTTCCGCCTCGGCTGCTCCCTCTCCGGGGGGTCCCTCTCCTCCAGCTCCCCCGTCACGCCCTCCATGTTGTCCACGTGGGGGTACGCCACCAGGTTGATGTAGCCGTCGGAATCGCCTTCGAAGCACACCAGGACCACGCCTGACGGACAGAACCAGAGACCATCAGAAACAGACGTTCGATCGGTTAAAATGCTGCTGAGCTACTTTTCTGCAGTGAATATCAATAATATTAATCTCATTATTACCCCGGGGTGGGGAGACTAGTTGCATTGTTTTTAAGTTAGACAGGATCAAGGCTTAAGCTTGTTTATTGTTGTCATAGCAACCCCATAGCGTGATGTCACGAGAACTTTTCCGCAAGTTATAGGAACTGGTTTAGGAGATAATTTATTCATTAATGATTGGCAAATGATTTCATTATAACAAGACCTTTTTCCGTGTTTCAAGTGAAATAAACTGCCAGAGTAACTAGAACCTTCAATATTCAAGAACTATTGACTTAAGACAATAAGTCTGTATTGACTGAAGTCAAGCTCTTAAAAGTTACTTGTAAGTTAGTTGTGTCTCATTTCAAGTGGAATAAGACATTTGCAGTAGAAACTAGACCAAAGATACTTGGTAAGATTTTGTGTTTTTCAGTCTGTTGTTTATAAAAGTGCTTCAGATCCTCAGTGTGATCAGACGTTTATTCAAATCTGGGATATTTTCCTGACCTGCTCTGAGTGTCGGGTGACGCGCTCGTCCAGAGGCAGAAATAAACAAATCAAACCATTAAGTCCTCCAGATCTAATTTTCCTAATTATTTCCACAGAAACCAGGAGGAAACTCCCTCCGTTCATAATAATGTCACAATAAAAGTCAGCTCAGCTTCTCTTTCATGTAAACAGTCAGACTTTCCACCTGCCAACATCTTCTGCAGAGGCGCCTCCATCTGCAGAGCCACTGAGCAGCACAATGTTTCATCAGATAGTGTCAGAAAATATGTGGGCAAAACAACCTTGACGGCTTGGAGAAGCAGCTCCTGGGCAGCTGTCTGTCTGCTGTTATTTAATCAGCAGGACAATGGCAGCAGGCAGGGATCCAGGGCTAAATATAGGCCGGCTGGGCGGCCGTCAACATCGGCGAGGACTGGTGGGAATGCAGACCCACCGGAGAAAATATCCAGTCAGACCCACAGACGGAGTCTGTTTCCACTCAAATACACCTGAACTTCACTTTCAGATTTCAGAAGGTTGTTTTTCTATGGATGGAATAAAATCTGCAAACACTAATATTTCTCCATAGTTTTCGCTACAACAGCAGCTCTGATTGGTTCTTTTGTTCATTTCTTTGGGTTCAGGGATGCAATTATTCCCTCTGGTCTGGACGTTGTGCACTTGGGAGGATTTTTGGTCCTAATTTTTAACTTTCAGACAACTATGACGTGCAACCACAGTAACAAGGTACCATTTTTAAAAATGGGAACAGCTAATTAGAATATAAAAACTCAAATAACACCTGAACTTTGACACCAAATCAAAGGAAATCCTGATGGATGCAGAATGGGAGGAGCCATCAGAGATCGAATCCCCATTTCCACCCAAACGGCCAGAACTGCTGCCCCTTGATTAAAAACGAGGAGCAGCAAAAGCAAATGAGGTGGAAAAGCAGCTGTCATGTCGGACTTCGGTTTTAGTTTTGATATTTTGTGTTGTTTGTGTGACAAAAAAGATGATTAAAAAAAAGTTTTTACATCTTGAAATTCATCAGAACCAAAAGGAAAATTATTTTTATCACTGATCTGCATCTAATTAAATTTATTGAGATTTATTGATGATGTCATGGATCCAAATGTGGAGAAAATGGTAAATCCTGAACAGACTTTTAGCTTTGGGATGTTGTCGCTGTCAGGATGAAACTTTTTTCACGATGTAATGGGAGGTTTGAAAATCCCTGCATTATGCAAGATGACTGAAGATTTTTCCTTTTGCTTCCTGTGGAAACAGGAAGTTGCTCCAGTAGCACCAGCATGTCTGTGTTTCTTGTACATTTTCTTTAAAGGCCTTTCAGTCCCTCCCAGGGACAAAACCTCACCAAACTGAATGCATTATTTCAGATCATTATGGAGTAATTTCTCCAAACACAACCGAACGTCTGACTTTCAGTCTCAGTATTTGTGTTTGTTTAAACCAGTGCTTCTCAATTATTTTCCGTTACGCCCCCCCTAGCAAGAAGAAAACTATTCGCGCCCCCCACTCCCCACCGTGACTATCCATCTCTGCATAACATTTTTTCATTAACATTAAAGAAAAAAGAAAGACATATGGTCAAACTTACAAAGAATAACTTTATTAAATCGTGTTTTAAGTCTGCAACAGAAAAGATTTTAAGTGCATCAATGCCTGAAATTAAAAATAAATAAATCCATGTCTACTGCTGCAGGCAGTATCAGCTCCTCTTTCTACTAGTACGGCCAAAAAAAAAGCCTGTTCCCCAGGATCACACGCGCCCCCCCAGGTATCGCACCGCGCCCCCCAAAGGGGGCCCGCCCCACTATTTGAGAAGAACTGGTTTAAACTGTGAATTTGTCCCATTAAAGCTGCTGCGATTTTTTCTAACAAAGAGCTCGGTAAGTAAGTGGGTCACGCTGGTTTCCAGTTAGTCGTGTCCTGGTTTTGGGAATGACTGCAGCAGGTTGATGGGACGGTTCCTCACAGCGACTGCCGCGGCGCTGCAGGTCGACGTGTGCAGCTGACAGTTTGGGCTCTCCGGGTCCGGCCGACCCGTCACAACAAGCTGCCAGGTTCGTGCTTTCACTTCATCTATTAGCCCAACTCAAACTCTCAACATTTTTCACCCTCTTTTTTCTTTCAAAACATCCCAGTGTTTAAAGTCATGAGTAGAAAAAAAGAAAAAAAAAATCAAAATATTAAAAGGGAACTATTATGCAAAATTTTCATTTTGCATGTTTTTTGTCCATTTTGGTCTTTATGCTTCTAAAAACAACTCAAGCACTTAAAGTTCCAGCAGGTTTAGTCAGCCGGTGCATGCGCTGTACAATGGCTGCTGAAAAAACACAAATGTTTTCTTGTTGATTTGCCGTCCAGAAACCACTTGCTGCGTTATTATTGGTTGAGCAGAAGGTTCCACTGACGCTTTTCAAAGCTATACAGCTGTATAATTGCTTATCTATTTGCAGCCATTTTTATGTTTGAGTACAAACGTTGAGTTGGGGGCATGGCCAGCAGCAGATGATTTGGATTTAAAGTGACAGGAGGCCCTAAACCAGCTCAAAATACACAGAGCTGTGCAAAATAAAACGATGATCTTGTGTAAAAAATTTTATGAACATGTTTTGTACAGATCTATCCTAACCTGTTCAAGGAAGCATAACAGGCCAGCTTTAAAGAAAAAAGACCCCAAAAAGCCCTCCTCGTTTTAACAGACTGATTAACAAGGCGCCTGCTCCATCAACCAGGATGTGTTTCTACTAACAGGGAACAGGACCAACGCTGTCGGCGTTTGTTTGGGTCTGTTTCTACATCATCAGGCTGTCAGGCAGATCCAGCAGCTGATGGAGAACAGAGCCGCGACGTCTCCTCTCCCACTAAACATCCGGATCTCCTTCCTCCTCTGCGTCATTCTGCCACTGCAGCCGTTTAGCAGCAAGTTATTCTGAGCCAAGCAAATATTACAGAGACTTACTAAATTACTTGATGATTACTTTGGTAATTGATTAATAAATTCAGCTCCAGTAATGTGTGCAGCGGATTTCATAATGCTGCATTGAGATGCAGGTCTGGCGGCATGAAGAGCCCAGCGGTTCTGATCCGAAACATCAGAGAGCGGCGACTGACCTTTATACTCAGGAGTGAACTCCTTCATCTCAGGAGGCAGAGACTCATAGAAGCGCTGCTCTCTGCTGATCAGAGGCTTACACACGGTGTGGTCATCGTACCGCATCATGCTGGTGTGACCCCCCACCTGCAACACACACACACACACACACACACACACACACACACACACACACACACACACACACACACACACACACACACACACACACACACACACACACACACACACACACAGCACACACACAGGCATGAAAAGCTACCCAGCATCCTGAATTCACAGAAATAAACAAAGAACTGCAAAGAAACTAAATCTGAAAGTATTTTTTGCCTAGTTTCTAGTGCAAACCTAGAATCCTTGAATTAACTTAGAAACAACATTTTAGCAAGACGCAGATGTTTGATTTTGTTTCCTCTTTTGAGCTGCGTCCTGTCACTTTAAATCCAAATTGAGGTAAAACCAGCTGACCAAACATGCTGGAGCTCTGCTGGGGTTGCTCGGTAACTGCTAGGTGCTGATTTGTGACGTTACATTCAGAAAGTTCTTGAAAAAGTTCGTCTTCCAGACACACAAAAAGCATTTCTTTATTGACAGAAGACAGCTGGATGGTATTTTTTTAAAGTGTTTTAAGAAATATCAAATGTTGCATTTTAGTTAATAATTTCTTAATATTGATGAAAAAGTACTAAATTCACTGGCTGATTATTTCACTTATGGGAAAAATGTCCCAAAAGTGTTTTCATCAATATTAAGGAATTATTGGTAATTCCTACGTCTTGACAAAAAGTTAATTATAAGTTTGTTTCATGTTTCATGTGTCTTAATTCAAGGATTCTAAGATATTTGCACTAGAAACTAAAATGACTTTGTAAGAGTTCTGTTTTGCAGTGTAATCAGGTTCTTTGTATTCAGGGCTTTTTGTCGGGTCCGGCTCACCTGGTGTATGAAGGGCTCCAGAGAAACGCCTCCATCTTGTGGTCTCACCCCTCCCCCGGTCACCGGCCCCTGTTGCTTACTGTCCATGCTGCTGGGTGGAGGGAGGCACATGGCTCCTGGCGGACGCACCGCAATTCCTGCTGACGAGGAGGACAACATCAAACGATGAAGGCCGATCCGTTTAGAGCAGGTCGCAGCCGGTTCTTACCCTGAACATGGGCTCGGGAGGGGTCGGCGCAGGGCACCACGGGCTGCTGGGAGCGCACGCCGGCCCCAGGGGGAGGCGGCGCCAGACCGAATAGCCACTTAATAAAGCGTCCAAGGAGAGTCCAATCCACCACCGACAGAACCCCAGTGCGCTGAGGCTGGGTGCTGGGGGACAGGATGAGGGGGAACCACAGGAATCGCAGGGTGTCAGTCAGGGGGGGTCACCGCTTACTGCAAGGACAGGAAGTGACACAAAGCAGAGACTTAATGATTCATAATATCAGAGAGGCGTTCTCTTTCCTGCTCCCCTAAAAGCTAAAACAATGTGTCCTAAAAACAGAAGGAGGCCAAACACGGTTCCTGGGGACCGCCAGATCCAATTAACCATTTTCTAACAAAGCAGAGTAGAAAACATCTGAACAGACTCCAGCTTACAGTCGTGGCCTGGAGGAAGAGCAGGAAGAGGTCACCTGACCTCCAGGAGGGCCGACATGTTGATGAGTTTAACTGGGGCGGGACAATAAATCAATCTTATTGATGAATCACTTTTTTGTTTTTAGTGTTTGGAAAATCTGGATTTTTTTCCTCATCAGTGAACTCCTCGGGTTTCCAAGTTCAGAGTCACTCTAGTGCACCCTGCGCCGCCATCTTGTTTTACAATTTCTATCTATTTGGACTTTGAATTCAACTCTGACAAAATATCAGGGCCAGGCTGGAATTCTTTATTTTTAATCAAAGCAGAAAATCATCAAAATGAACAGAAATAAAAGCTTGAAAACATGATTCTGAGTGCAAATAATCCATGTAATCTGCTACAAGTAAAAAATTTTACTGAAATAAACAAAAGTTTCAATAATATTCTGATTTACTTAGGGCTGCAATTACAACTAATTTTAATAATCTTTTATAGATCAATTTTTTTTAAAATTCAGACATTCTACAAATTTTTAATTTAAATGTTTTAAAGAATATTAGAAACACAATAAAAGATGCAAATAAGTAAAAGATTTTATTGCGTAAACTGCGCCTTCAGCATTCTGTTTAGTGAAACTAAATCGATACCATCTGATTAAAACATAATTTACAAAATGTGTTTTGATCTTAATGCAAAATGTAGATATATTTTTTATATTTTGGCTTAATTACTGCTCAACATGATCTTTCAGTAAATGGCCTTTTTCTGTGTTTATGCTACAGTTAACGGTTAATTGATCATTAAATTATTTGACAATAATTTTAATTAATCGTTTCAGTTCATAAATAGATATTTTCACAGTTTCTTGTTGCAGAACTTAAAAACCCACAGAGTCCTGATGTCAACCAACATCTCAAATGACCCAGAGTTAAAGCAATCAGATCCACCAGAACCAGGACCAGAACCAGCAGTAACCAGGACCAGAACCAGCAGTAACCAGGACCAGAACCAGGACCAGAACCAGCAGTAACCAGGACCAGAACCAGGACCAGAACCAGCAGTAACCAGGACCGGAACCAGGACCAGAACCAGCAGTAACCAGGACCAGAACCAGCAGTAACCAGGACCAGAACCAGGACCAGAACCAGCAGTAACCAGGACCAGAACCAGCAGTAACCAGGACCAGAACCAGCAGTAACCAGGACCAGAACCAGGACCAGAACCAGCAGTAATCAGGACCAGAACCAGCAGTAACCAGGACCAGAACCAGCAGTTCTGAACGGCCTTGTGGAAGGATGGGAACGACCCAGTCCAGCGTGTCGTCACGGTAACAAACGCTTTAACATAAACACGATTCTTCACAGGGCGCAGAAATAAAACCGCAGCGGAAAAACTCCTGTCGGATCTTAAATCACAATCTAACCTTGAGCACACACACACACACACACACACACACACACACACACACACACACACACACACACACACACACACACACACACACACACACACACACACACACACACACACACACACACAGAAACCCAGCCTTTCCCATGAGCAATGCATTTCAGTTAGAGGAGAGATGTGTAAACATCGGCTGTGGGATCAGCAGAACCTCTGAGTCGTTTCCTTCGGGGAGCCGCCGTTCATTGTAACACGTTTGCTTGACAAAACAGCAGCACAGCAACTAATGATTATCCAGTAATCGACGAATCTGTTGAATATTCTCGGAGTTAAATCTGATTAAAATATTGGCACATTCTGCAGGTTTTTATTTAAGCATTTAAGGCTTTTTAATACAAAAAATGCATATTAAGATTAAAATATTAACTGTATTAACTATTCTCTCTGCATAGAGAATAGCAGCAGGACTGCACTGCCTGCTGGCTCATTATTTAAGTTATGTGCCTGTAATATAAGTGTTTTTTGTGTAATGGAGCTTAAAAATATGCTTTAACCAACAAGAGGTGATCCAGTAATTATCAGAGCACCAGACTCCATTTGGACCGTTTCTCTTCCCTGTTCTGGTATGGACCCGCCATCTTTGTTTCTGTGCCAACTGGCTCTGCTTAAGGATTATCAGCGGCGCCCTCTGATGGATGAGAGAAGCTCCAAATGGTTAATTGTTTTCATTCCTAATTGTAATATACTTTTACAGCCAATATGATAAATGTTCTTTTCTTTGTTGAGCTTTAGCCAGCGTTCTGCCATTTTCTGAATGTTTTAGCATCACAGCCACTGAAGGTTTGGAGTCTCTCTAACTGGGTAAACATGTTATTGTTATGAGAGCCATAAATATAGCATCCCTTCAATAATTGGACACAGTGAAATTACAGCGATGATTGCAGCTGGATATGTTACGCAGCAGTAGTGTACAGACCTAATATGGGGAATTGGTACCAGTGCAAAACATGCATCTATTTTTTATGTTAAGGATTAAACCAGGCTGATGACTCATTGGTTTCAATGAATTAAAACAGTCAATTAATTTTATAATTATTTTTTCTATAATAATGAATTAGTAATAACCCACTGAGCGAAGGAGGAAGAGAGACTAACATCTCATTGCCTTTATTTACGCCATATGAACACATCTTCTCTGCAAAATCAATTACATTTCTGAATTTTGTGCTTTAAAACTAAACTTTGCTTGTATAAACAGAATCAGGACAGCTGTTAAAATAAGAGCAGATCAATCAGGGAGCCGCTTGATGTCCCAACTGCTTGAAGGAAGAATGTACCGCCTGATTCAGCAGCCAGCTACTAAATTATCAGTGTGTGTGTGTGTGTGTGTGTGTGTGTGTGTGTGTGTGTGTGTGTGTGTGTGTGTGTGTGTGTGTGTGTGTGTGTGTGTGTGTGTGAGTGTGTGTGTGTGTGTGAGGAGCCCTCGATGTTTATGGGTTTCTGTGTCTCTGGAGAATTGATGGAGTGACAGGTGTGTGTCTGGGCTGCTGGAGAGCGAAGGGACGTCCTTTCATGCATGTTAACCCAACACACACTGGACTATTTCAAAAGTCCAACTGACCTCAAATACATCAGGAGATGATCTCTCCTATTGCTGTAATCTTCACCTTAATACATTTTTCTCTCCTCCATTAAAGATAAAATAGAAACAGTCTTTAGGTTTTTATTTAACCATGATTTGTTGCTTGGTCTAAACCAGTGATGCCAAAAGTCAATCCTCAAGGGTTTTGGTTCTTTCTCTGGTTCAACATTGGGTGGACTTTCAAATTCAAAGTTATTTGTGAAAAACTCACCTATTTATATTTGTTTCTGTTGAGCACATTTAAAATATTTGTAAGTAAATGCAGCTCAGGAAGCTGAAATACCCAGACGCATCGTTCTTGATACGCCATTGGCTGGTGTTTGTAAAGCAGCCAATCTTGGCGCGCCGTTCCTGTTGCATGGCGCTGATTGGCTGAACCCCAGAGAGTGGAGATAAGAAAGACTGCGGACGTTAGCTTCTGCGGTAGCACCAAGGCTATTTCCACTGCACTTATTGATGCATATTAAGGGATTATTAAAACAGGCAGTTAGAAGCATTTTTAGAAAAGGTCTCAACAGTTTGCAGGCCGATGTGGACACCATGGGGTCCACTATGTTTACGTCTTTGCTTCAGATTAAAAAACCTTCAAGAACAGCAGACTGCCCCTTTTAGGGTGTTTTGCTGCCTGGTAGTCCGGTATGCTCTGTTCAGGGACCAAAATTACTACATTCATTATATTTTGAGCTGCTTTGTGTAAAACCAAACAAACTAATTGAAAAACCTGTTTTCTTTCCTGCCTGTGGGGCACTACACCAAGAACCACTGAAAGAAACAACAGGAAAATCTCTGAAGAAGACACTGAACATTACTTCGTTCTTCTGGAAATTTAAACAAAAATATAGAGGAATCAGATTTTAGCAGTTGTAGGATTTCTCTTTTTTGTCTTTGGTTAAAAAGAAAAAAACAAAAAAGAAACATGAGCCATTTCTCTTGCTAGCGCTAAACAAGTGTGTTTGTTTTGGTTGTATTTACCCAGAATGCCCTGTGCTGTAGTCCACTTCCTGCTTTTGGAGCGATCTTCAATCAGGTTGGCATTCACATATGCATTCAAACCGAACCAGAGTTCAAAGCGAGACAGAGGTTTGTATGCGGAGCAGATTTTGCTTTTTTTGATCCGATTGCGTGTTCACACCTCCCCAAACGAACCAAACTTTCTAAACAAATGGAGTGGAGTTCGATTCAAGCAGACCCAATAGGGCTGGTGTGAATGAAAAGTTAAAGATATGCTTACAGTAGCAGATGATCAGTTAATTACATATTTGAAAGGAAAAATTCTCCCCTCTCTTTACTCCTTTGGGTTTTCAGTTTTTCAAACTGCAGCCAAATGTTGCATCAACTTCTGTTGAAACAAAATTAATGCAATCATTAGACCTAAATATCCACTTATTTTACCATATTTTACTTTTATTTACCCATTCTTTGATGTTTTCTTTTTTCAACCAAATTAAATCTAAAGAATAATCACAGTGGCTTAGCAGGCCACAGAAAACCACCTTTCTGTCTTCTACAAAACCTCTTCAGCATCATTAACCTCTTGTTTCTCAGTCCACCATTCCAACAAACAAACAAGCAAAGGTAAAAACAACGTCACGTCTAATCTGACCCCCCATGTCCTTCTTGGTGCGGTGAGCAACCTGATCAGACAGCCAATCAGCTTAGAGGATCTGTGTGAGCATATCTTACATCATCAGCAATCACCGAGACAAAGCCACCGGTCCGCCTCAGCTCTACAACGCTGACAGACTGATTAAGCAG